CATCCAAATTATTGAGGCTCAAAAAAGAAATTAATGGTAAATTTTGTGATATATTTTTTTCACTTAATATGATATTGAAGATTGTTATAAAAAAAAGGTCCAAAACTTATAATAAAAAGAAAAAAATATTCTAGAATTTTAAAATAAATAACTTAAATTTTGTATTAAAATAGAGTTTTTAAAACAACATCCAAGGTAATATATCTTAAATATGTAGGTGATATGTTTATTAGCTAGAAGTAATGCTTATTTTTATAAATAACAATATTACTATGCGAAGTTAATTCATGTTTTCATCTCATTTGAAAATTATTGTACTACAACAATAAGTATGCATAAATAAAATAAAAACAATTCTAGCTTATTTGATTAGATATGTTTGTTTATACTTGGTGATATACACTAAAATTCAATAAAATCATTTGATCATCTATATATTGAATTTATCATGACTATTAGTATTTCACGAAGAAGAATGCTATGTAATTGAATGAAATTGTAGAAACTTCTAGAATTGACGAATTGAATTAGCAGTGTATACTATTTAAAAGGAATGAAAGAAAATTTGGGAATTTCTACTATGTTTCATGTATAGAATTTAAAAAATAAATAATTCAAACATACCACTAACTTGAGCTGTCAAAAAGGATCGGCCCAAGCCTCGCATACCAAGCAATTTAAAGGCCTGGGACGGGCTAACCCTTTATTCGGAAAGGTCTGAATATGCTCAACCCAACCAAACTCTTGAAAGGCCGAGGGTTGGGGCGGGCTGGCCCTTCTTTATTTTTATTTTTTTCTTTTCAAACTTATAGTTCTATAAGAAAATGAGAAGATTTCGAATCAAATATGACTAACAATTGTGTTATTTTAATGACACCACAAAAAAGTCTAGTGTAATTAACATGTATTTCACATACTAGATACGTGAGTGAGATAAGTAAGTGATAAGCAAGAGTTGAGGAAGGCGAGGGTGCGAGATTCTGTATATGCATTTTAGATATACGTGAATCTACTTTGATAGAGTGTATCTAAAGCATATTCACCTAATTTTGAGTCCATATATTCGGAGATATATGTATATGGATGTACCAAAATCTGATAAGATTCGTAATATTACAACATAGTGTGTATTTAAGTAATTAAATTAGGAAAAATTGTATAAAATAGCAAACTAATAACCTAAATTAAATTGAATAGCTAGGGTTTGATTTAATTGTGCTCCATAGCAAACGTTGGCAAAAAATTGCCAGGCGTATCTCTCCCAGAAGTCTCGCTCGCCACTCTCCCATTATCGCCTCTCTCGCTTTATACACAAAAGTGTATAATTTCTGTTTCTGTTTTGTATAAAGCGAGAGAACATTGTATATACACATGCAAAAATGTATATCTTCGTGTTATACACTTAATTATATAATTTACAAACATTTTACTTCAAATATTGCAGAGAAAAAGGCCAAAAAGATTATACAATTGCAGTGAAATACAATTTTT